CATATATATATATATATATATATATATATATATATATATATATATATATATATATATATATATATATATATGTGTGTGTGTGTGTGTGTGTGTATATAATGTATATACATTATTTGGTAGGTGATCCTAGCATGTGTCATTATTTTATGATCTGATATTTTCATTTATTAATTTGATGCTATTATTAGTAATTTTTAATATTCTTACTATTTTTATTTATTTATTTATTTATTCCGTCATCTATATTTAATCTGATTTATTTCTGTTTTATTTTTATTTTATTTTTTCGATGCCACATAAGTGTTTAATTTTATTGCATGTAGCATGCATATATTTTTATACACCAAGTATAATACAAAATATTTTTATATTACTTTCATTTGATTTATTAGATATAACTTATCTGATTTATTTATTTATTTATTTTTATTTCAAATTTTCAAGGTATCACACCTAACCCCTCTGATCCCAGAACCTCAGACAGACTACAGAAAAGCTCTTGACAAACAGTTTGAGCGTGTGCTAGCTTGGAGAAGATGGAGGATGGGGTCTCTACAGAAGATTATTCAATACTTTGACTACTATGAATCTGAGGAGGCGGAGGTACTCAACTGGGTAGGCAGAGATGATGTATCTAAGTGTTTTGCCATGAATTTTATCATCTCTGTTCTTGAGAAGAAGAAGGCCAACTACAAGGGCAAGGCTGTCCTCATCTCTACTCCCTCTGAAGAGACAGTGAAACCCCTTGCAGATGAAGAGGTTGATGCTTTTGAGGCCTGGCTGTTTGCCAAGAAGGCAAAGGAATCTGTTGTTCCCTACTCTACCCCAGGGGAACCCTCTGTATCAAAAACAGAAGGTCAAGCAATGATGGAGCTAATCAGAGAATGGAGAGCATCTCTGTTCGAAGGAACTGTACTTGAGGTAATATCTTCTTCTCCCCCTATACATATTCCAACAGCACCCCTTATTCCCAAATCTCCCTCTGTGCATATACTCCCAACCCCCAATAGAATACCTCTTCACAACATCAGAAACCCTAATCTGAACAGAAAACCCCCACACCCCAAAAATCTCCAACCCCCAATTTTAAACCTTCTTCACCCTGCAAACCGTTCTCTCCCCCAAAGAACAGATCCCCTTCCCCTCCACCATCCCCTCCACCATCCCCTCAACGCCAAGTTATTCAAACCCAACCTCTACAGATTATCTCCTCATCTCAACCACCTCAACAGAAATCCTCTACACCTCACAAGTCTGAGCATCAAGATACCCCACAAGCTTCTCTTCCAGCACAACAACCCCCAACTCAACTAAAACATGTCTGGTTCCTGAGAGATTCTGATCCTACAACTATCTCCCCTATCTCTGCACCTCAAGGCTACTCTAGGCATTCTACTACCCCCAATCCCTCTTTTCGCATAATGAAAAAGGTGATCCGAAACAGAATCCCAATCTACTCCTCCTACGAGGACTCCTCTGACATGGAGGGCTTCATTGTCAACAAGTCCTATCAAGCTACCTCCAAGAGACAGAAGACCCCCCCTCTGACTCAACTCGAGCATGAAATGCTTGTCCAATCCCTCTCCTCTGTCAAAGAACATCACCCCTTGCCTAAGGGAAGAGGTTTAGAGCTGCCTCATTCTGTTGGACAAGAGGATCAGATACCCTTCAATGACTCTGTAGCTGCAGCAGAGGGCTTTGGAGGTCAGATGATAGACGGCATGAACAAGCTCATAATGATCAATGATAAACATTATGAGGGTCTCACACAGGTGGATGAAAATGTTAAATCCGGCTTCAAGCACATGTCTGCTACTTTGACAAATGTTCTTCAGGACTTCATGACTTCATCAAATTTCAAGATTGATGTTGTCTCTACTGAAGTGGATACTATCAAGACAGTCCTAGCATCCATGAATCAGACCTTGAACTCCCAACATACCACACTCACAACTCTTTCCCAGACAGTTGCATCTCTTCAGAAATCTGATTCCATTCTTCATGCAAGGTTACAAGAACTCAACACCCTCTGCAAAGAACATTCTCCTCAAGGACAGCTTCTTCTTGTTGCAGACAAAGAACGATATCAGAAGATGGTTCAATTAGAAGCCAGCAACAAAGAAGTTCTCTCTGCTATCCAGAAACAACAACGCCTGATTGAAGGCCTCACATCTGTTACTCAAACCTTGCCAGAAACCCTGGAACAGATTGCCTCTACACAAGCCACATAATTCCAGAAACTCTCCCTACTGATTGGTGATCTAGATGATGCCAAAAAGGGGGAAGAAGATCCTCATCAGTCCAAACCTAGGACCACCAGAGCCTCATCATCTGCTGAACCAGCTGTGGATCCCTCTCCTTATTTTGAAGCTGCCCTCCAGAAGAAAAGGCTAGCTGGTATCCCTAGACCTTCATCTCCACAGAAGAAAGGTACTAAGAAGAAGAAAGCTCTGAGCTTTAAAGAATGGAGTCTGGGAGGATCTCAGGTGATGACCAAACCCCAATTTGAGGAAATGAAACAAAAGATGACCTCTACACAGCAACAGAACCTTTATCTGGACCATGATGGTCATGTAATGGTTAGACATGGAGGATCTCTGGAGGAAGCAGAGTTCTGGTACCATAACAGCATCCTTCCAGGAAAGGACATTCATGAAGGTGTCCTTAACTACCTAGACAACAAGCTTTCACCCGTTTGGGCTTCTTATCAGAGATCTGGAAATCTCATTGGGATTAGAGAAGAGGTGAATGCAGAGTTAAAAAGGTTTCAAGGATTGGATGAGCAAGCAAGAGCTGAAGCTGCAAGGCCTATTATGTAATCGGATATCCTTGTAAACTATCCTTAATAAAAGAACATCTCTGCCTCTCACTTTGTAAGGCAATTCCTTCATATCTGTCTCTGCTTTTTGTTGTTGTTTGTTTGCTATCTTTTTTATTTATTATCTGCTATCTGAATGTATTGTACTCTTACTATTTTCCTATGCCAAGATGCCCACCAAGATTTTAATGAAAGTTTTAAAACTTTAACTCTTTATGGTGAAGGCACTTCTCTGGAAATGGTTAAAGGGTTTTGGCATCATCAAAAGGGGGGAAATTGTAAGGAATATTTGTAATTAGATTTTGATGATGTTATATTAATTAGGACTTTAGAGTACCCCTCTTTAGATGTAATGTTTAGGATTTCCTTGTAAAGTTCTTTAGTATAGTCGACTAGCAGAAGGCCTCCAGAACAGAAGACCCCCTGACAGAGGATCCTTGATAAGGCTTTGTTTTAACAGAAGACCTTTGGCTCTCTGCTTCAGAACAGAAGACCTCAGGGTCTCTGTTAGCCTTTACTCGGACAGAAACCCTCCTGGTTTTCTGTTGGACATTTCTTCAACAGAAACCCTCAAGCGTCTCTGATAACTTTCTCCAACAGAAGTGCTCAAGACCTTCTCTGATCGACTCTCTGCTAAAGACACCAGAAGGCCTGACACTTAGAGAATTTCACCAAGCCGGTAAACCAACTGAAGATTCCTTCAACGGCTAGGAGTATTGAATGGAAAAGGTACAGTACGCGCATTAAATGCACATTTAATGCCTCCCGTACTCTGTAGAGTAAATGCAGATGATTGGCCGCAATGTCAGGATAGATTTATCCCAAAATAGTAATCCGCCAACTTTGGTGGGTCCTACTGGTCAAGTCAACTGCTCGCACATTTAATGCAGTTGTCCTCCTTCTCCTCCAACGGGAAGACAACCTCAGTATAAAAGATACACTACGAAGAACAACCGGATAACTTTGCTACAGACTGCGAATACGAAAACTTTCAAACGCTAAAAATGAAAAAGACCTCCTTGAGATTAAACATTCATTATCTTCTACAAGAGAAGGCAGACGTTGGAAAGATCTTTACTTCCAACTCAAGCAAAGTTCTAATCATTCTTCAACTCTTCAAGCTCTTCATCTACAAATCCCTTGTAACGAAGCAAGTGGGAGGAATCCCTGTTTTAACAGAAACTCTTATTTCACAAGAAGGACGTCCAAGTACCTGGAGCAGTGAAGTGGTGATACTTCCAGGAAAGCTCAGTGAAAGGACCAGTCTTAAAGGAAGCCAGGAAGTGCATCCCAGAAGACGTCTACACTTGAAGAAGACGTGGAGAGCTTCTTAAGTGATAGGGCTAAGGCGTTGTAAACGGTCGTTTTTACAAGCTTAGTGGAACAGTGGATTAGAGAAACAAGATGTTCCTTGAACCACTATAAAAAACCCTGGTGTCATTTACTTACTGCATTTACTTATCGTTTTTATTTGAACTGTTTAACTCCAAAGACTTGGTCTCTGTGTTCAGCAAAACTTGTGTTGTGAGTTAACAGAAGGCCTACTGCCTTTGCTTTTCTGAGGCTAAACTAACAGAACCCCCTACCAGAACCCCATCCGCTGCCAGTCTGTTCTGCCAACAGAACAGGCTAATCTGTTAAATCTGGTACTTAGCTTGTAAAAGTTAAAAACCAATACAGTCTATTCACCCCCCCCCCCCCCCTCTAGACTGTATCCTGTACAACCGGGACCAACAATTACCTTCGACCCGCTCAAAGATTCTCTTTATAAAAGACCCAATTATTTAGACAATAATTACATAAAATTATTCGAGTATATTTTAGGAAATAATTTTGATGAGTACATATTAAAATGAGGCATCGATGAAAATTGTGATGTTATATGTTTATTATTTTTACTATTTGATGATTAAATGATCATGGTTAATTATTTTCCAAAATAAAAATACACACCTTTAGAATGGGACAAATGAGTATATGTTTAGGGAAATAATATAATTTCTTTAGCTAAAACTAATTACAATCCGTAATATTATTAATGTCTGCATACATTTCATGATTGGATATGATTTGTCAAAGGTAAGAAACATGAAATCCCCGTAAATATGTCAATAACATTAATAATGAATTAATTTCGAAATTACCTTCGACATGTTAATATGTTACGCGTCCTCTCTGTTCGCTCCCCTATAAAACACAGCTAAATAAATGCAATTTCTTTCAAATTTCAAATAAACCCATTAATTAAGTGGGTGGGTGCTCAACTCCGTATACTGCTCTCTCTTGTTTTAGAAAAATGGCCGCCGGCTATTTCCATCGGGCGGTACTAATTGCCGTGGCCACGGCCATCGCCGTCATCGCTGGTGGCTGTCATTCTGTGTGCTCGTACGAACGCCCGCCGGCGAAGGGCCCCGTTTTCGTATCACTGGCTCAACATCTCCCCTCCTCATCTCCACAACAGGTAAATTAATTATTGGTTTAATTTAATATTCCTCTGTTTCTATTATGTTTAGTAACGTAAATCCCGACTCTGTTCCTTTCCCATAACACAAATGATTGTGTAATGCTTTTAATTTTATTTTATCAACGCGTGAATTAATGTTCAAGTATAGTATAATTAGAAATCCCGACTTAATTCATATTTCTGGATCTCTCCTAGACTAGGATAGTTGTTTTGCCATCCGTGTCTAAATTGTATTTTATACGTAAAGGGATACAAGTTGGAAAGATATATCGAACATGTAACGTCACATGTTGAAATGTTGATAGTTGATACTATAAATAGTGAGAAATCTTTCACTTTCCTAAATTAGTAAATGTGAAATTCTTACTGTTTATTATTAGGCCAATGTGCTTAGTGAATCACGAGTGAGATGATCCATGAATTTCTTCTAAAAGTCACTAGCTAAGTTAATGTCAAGGGATTTCGCAAAAATACACTATGCATGATTGATTAACTAATCCAAGATATTTTATATATATATTTTATATATCTCTCTCTCGAAAAGAAGTTCTCATTTATATAAAAAGAAATCACTTCTAATTTATAAGTCATAACTAGTCTTACTTTTTACGCACTTTTTGCTTGATGTGACATAATATAGAGGTATACTTGGAAAGTCAAAACAAAACTCTAACCTACATAGATAATTAGATGAATTAGAATGTGATCTAAGTAAGGAAATTAAAATGAATTTAGAGGATTGAGTTTGAGAGTTTTGTTGTATGTGGAATTGAAATATGCACTATAATGAGATATGGGGTTCGTCCGTTCCAGAGAGAGTCGCACCCTTTTGACATTGATTGTATAGTTGGAACATTTATCCCTATAATCAAGTATGAAAATTATTGGGGGTAACTTCCAGTTTGGATGGTCATTTCATAGAACTTAAGTTTTTGGAGCAATCCTAATGTCTTAAGTTCGAATCCTGCAATGGGAGTGATTATTGTGACTCTCCGATCGGTCAGATATGAGATATCGGATGTCAATAAAAAAAGTGAAAATTGCGAAGGAGGTTGCAATATGTAGAGTCTAGACCGACCTCGCAACTAACCTTTCAATCATATGGGACCGGTTTTATGTCCTCAGGAATTTTGTAGGAAACGTGGAATCTGGGTATTTTGCCACGTAAACACGCTTATAGTTCCATGCAATCAATGTGGGACTGTACGTGTCCTATAGCTGCCCGAAGGTTGCAAATAAATCTTCTTACTTCGTTAAACTTGGCCGTACGATAACAAATTTAAAACCACTAAGTGTATGTTTGGGAGTTCGGAGGGAAGGGGAGGAGAAGGCTTTGGAGGTATGTTGTTGGAGGGGAAAGAGAGAGGAGGGTGAAGAAGCTCTTCTTTGTATTTGGGAGTAATAAATTTGGAAGAAGAGAGTTTTTGAATGAATTATAATTAAAATTACTTTGAGATATAACGAATTTAAATAATTGAACTTATATTTATTTTTAATTGAGCTTAAATTACCATTTCATTAATTATCCCTCAAAACCCTCCAAATTGGAAGAACTTAAAAATTAGGCATTTAGAGGGTTTTGGAGGATCATGAAAGCCCTCCAAAACCATCCCCTCCAGTTTTATAAACTCCCAAACATGAAAAGGAGGGTTATAAACCCCCATCAACCTCCCCCTCTCCTCCAAAACCCAACTCCCAAACACACCCTAAGGGTAGAAAAACGTGAGGTTTGGCCCAACTATTTTAATTGTATAGACTTTAGACTTGAGTCTGGTCTCTTTCTTTAAGGGCCCATTTGACGATATCAGGCTAAAATAGCATGGTGTATTAAAGAGATGTAACAAGAATTTCAGAAGTATTTATAAAAAGTCAGGTGCATTTTTATACTGTATCTTTTAGTGCAACATAACCACTGATTTAAAAATCAGCCTAGTCGACCAAAAAATCGATCTAATCAGCCAAAAAAATCGGCCTAGTCAGCCGCCTAGGCGTTAGGCGCCCTTCAACCGTTCGACTAGCGTTTGACGAGTTTTAAAACATTGAACACAATCGTCAATCGTATCTCATTATTGAAATAGCACCTTATATATGTGTGGGCGTTGTATAATACGGAGTAGTGTTCTAACTTCTTGTAAATTAGATGAGTATATGGTGATTGGTGAATAATCAAACAGTATATTCTTTGTAATGTAAAATTTTTAAGTTGCATATGTGGCATAAAAGACAAAATATTAAAGTGGAATTTTTCTTTGCTTTCCCTAGTATGTTTTCATTGGTAATCTTTATTTTAAAATGCCTAAATCTTACACTATGTTTGACTTTAAAAACATGATGTTGCTAAGAATCAACACACTATGGGAACATAAATATTGTCTCTGTCATATTTGGAGCGTCAACATTTTCGCGATTGAGATCTCTTTAACGGTTTGAGTGATGAAACCATTATGCTAATTTACGTTAGTTTAAAATTCGTGTAAATAGTATACTACCTCTTTCGTGGTGAGTTTCCTAAATTGTCTTGGCTCGTAAATTTAGATAGTGACAATAAAGTGAAAATGTCTGATTGTAGCTGTGTAAGAAATTAAAAAGTGAATGAATGTGAACCACATATTTTTTCCAAAAGTGAAAGTTGGAAGAATTAATTGGGATGGTCCAAAGTAAAGTTGAAAAAATTGAACGGGACGGAGGGAGTACTAAATATTGCATATCACCATATGTTCTGAAATAAACGTAACATTATGAATGTTAGACCATTCGCATGCTCTAATTTTATACTGCATGTTATATGTTTATGTATTAGAAATTTAATGGGAGATTTACCTAAATAGGAGTAAATAAAAGGATAATTGCAACAATGAGAGTTTAAAGTTTAAATTCCCAAAATATGACTAACTCTTCCTATTCTACCCTTTATGTTGTCTTTGATAATAGGATTTTTAAACAATCATTATAAAATATAAAAAAAGAAATCAAAATAAAAAAAAAATCGCAAAAAAATAATTAAAACATATATAGACCTCAACCACCACCTCAGCTACCTTCTAGCACCGCCACCTCCGGTCGTCGGAAAAGATTGCCAAGTTAGGGAAAAAATGTCATCGTGACGGCAATTTTGAAGAGAAAACAAGAGAAAGTTGGATATTTTCAAAGTGTAAAAATGTCATCTTCATGATGTTTTCAGAGAAATGTGGCATTTTTTACACAAGCTGGCATTTTTTTCCCAGTGACCGGAGCCGGTGGTGCTGGGAGGTAGAGGACGCGTCGGCAGTGACCTACATATTTTTAAATATTTTTTATGTATCTTATTTTATTTTTTAGATTTTTTGAAATTTTTTTAAGTAATTTTTTTTTTTCATGTTTTCATTATTATTTTATAAATATTTTATTATTTTTATACTTTTATTATAAAGAAACTTATGATTTTCTTATTAATAAAATACTCCGTAAATCTATTGGAAATTGTAGGAAAGCGGTAGAATGGGAAAAAGAAACATATATTAGTCCTATTTTGGAAATAAAGGAATTGTACTCTTGTTGTTAAATTTTGGAATATTTTTAGTCCTACTAAGGGCTAATACCACTAATTTAATTTCTTAAAAAAACTTTTTTAAATTCCTCTCACTTTAAATTTTTAAAATTTGACCTTTTTAATTTTTTTTACTGAAAATGAAAACGTTGGTACCTAATAAACAATGAGAAGATCAGGAAGATTATACTACACATGTGAACTGTATATTGTTCCTTTTGAATCTCCAACTCTATTGCCCTCACACTCTAATCTCACGAGACATTTGAGAGATGGTAAGTCATTGAATACGTCGTGCAGGTGCACATATCACTGGCGGGGAAGGATAAAATGAGGATAACATGGATTACAAAAGATGATTCTGCCGCCGCCGCGACGGTAGAATACGGCACATCTCCGGGAAATTACACGTTTACTGCAAATGGGAACACCACAAATTACAAATACTTACTGTACAAGTCCGGCGATATTCATCATGTCGTCATTGGGCCGCTCACTCCCAGCACTGTCTACTACTACCGCTGTGGTGGCGGTGGCTCTGTCTTAAGCCCTGAGCACAACTTCACAACCCCACCCTCAAGATTTCCGATCAAATTTGCCGTCGTAGGTATGTCTTTGTACATTACTCCTTAATATTTTGTCCTCTGCTCAAGTGTGAAGATCAACTTTGTACGCTGTACAGTGTACATTGTACTTTGTAATATTTCTGGCTGAAGTTGGTGAATTGGCGGATTTATTAATTTAGGAAAAATCTATTTTTAAAATATATTTTATTAATAAAATAAAGAAAAATTATCTACGTTAACTTCAGTCAATACAGTCAGAAAAGTAACTACAACCTTACTTTTTATTATTATTACCCAATTGGCAGCGCGTAAAAACGAAAGTTAAGTATGTCCCTTTATCGATTAATGAGACACTTGTATATATGGTAGGTGACCTTGGTCAAACGGAGTGGACCAAGTCAACCCTTGAGCACATCGGGAAGTCAAACTACGACATGCTTTTGCTGCCGGGGGACTTGTCCTACGCTGATTTCTACCAGCCGTGGTGGGACTCGTACGGCAGGTTGGTGGAGCCACTAGCGAGTCGACGGCCGTGGATGGTGACCCACGGCAACCACGACGTCGAGAAAATCCCGGCCGTCCATCCCGAGTCATTCACCGCCTACAATGCGAGATGGGTCATGCCCTTCGAGGAGAGCGGGTCCGAATCGAACCTTTACTACTCGTTCGAGGCGGCGGGAGTACACGTCGTCATGCTCGGCTCGTACACCGATTTCGGAAACGATTCGGCGCAGTTCAAGTGGCTGCAGTCGGACTTGGCGAAAGTGGACCGGACCAGGACCCCATGGCTGGTTGCACTGGTGCATGCGCCTTGGTACAACTCCAACAGTGCTCACCAAGAGGAGTACGAAGGCTACGCCATGAAGGAATCCATGGAAGGTTTGTTGTTTCAAGCTAAAACCGACGTCGTCTTCTCAGGTCATGTTCATGCCTATGAGCGCTTTGTAAGCTCTCTTTCACCATCTCTCTAATCTCCAATGTTAAATTCCCAATACAAGCAATTTTAACATTAGAATTGTCCTTAGGAGTAAAAATATCCTAAAATTTCGAAATAGAACTTTCATGTTTTTATTGTGAGTAATTTCTACCAAGTTTGAATAAACTTGATAGAAATTACCATGTTTAAAATTTAATAATAGCAAACTTGACAGAAATTATTTCAATTTAGAAAATTCCTCCTTTTAACAGGAGCCAAATATTGGGAAGCTAATAAAAATGTTACTTTGATTTAACTATTCATTAATGATTTGATAATAGATATGGTTGGTACATAATTCTTGAATGAAGTAAACCAAGACCACAATTATTGTTACATACTACGTACTACATATTTATCAATAGCAAATTCAAGCCTAAAGATCCTACCACATATGTAGCCTAGCACTTTACGTTTCCACATAATCGTTGTACATTTATTTGATACTTATGTTTGATACTTATGTTGTTATTTTTCACCAAATATGTAATTTAAATAATAATAATAATAAAATCTAAGGATATTAGGGTGTCGTTCCATAGGAGTACGGAGTATTATTTTTAGCAAACGTAAAAATATCATTAGCAAACCGGACATGGCGACTCACATATAAACGATCACTGGTAGTGTCGAGGCCATAGTTGTTACGGCATCGCCTAGGCGCTGACTAGTCGTCCTGGCGTTGGGGAAGGGGCTCCATGGTTACTCGACTCGCCTAGAGCTGCCAAGGCATAACTCGGTGTAACTTGGCGTCGACTAGGTGCCATGGAGATGTCCAATGCTTGTTTTGCTGCTTCAACCCATAATATTAGGTTAGAGAAGATGTTGAGTTTTAAGATTAAGTCGTCGGCCATAACCCTAGACCCATCAACAGTTCACCCCGTCAGTCGATTCACTGCAGGAAATCGCCATAGTACACCGCCCCTCACTGTATGGCGCAGTTGATCCACCTCCGTCTGTTTACATCATTGGTTCGGAGTGAGGTTGGGGTAGTCGAAACCAAGATCGTTCAAAACGGTGATAACGAGATCTTCCTCCGGTATGGGGTTCTGAGCTAGAGCCAATGCATCCGCAAATGATTGGATTTCATTAAGGTATGCCATAATGGGACGAGAGCCCTTGGTTGTACGTGTCATAGTTGTTTTGAGTGAAATAATCTGGCCACGCGAACTGCTGGTGTAGGTTTCGCCGTTGGTGAAGAGGAGATCACTGGTTGAATGGTGTCGGAACAACTGCCGAGAAGAGCACTCAAAATCGTCTTATCATGACTATACGAAATAGTGTAACAAGGATTGATTTGAGATTTGGTAGCATCAAGAAATTTGTCAGGGGTGACAACACTGCATCAACATAGTCATCAAGACCAACTCCAAGGAGGGATGAGTGAACCTGACATTTCCAAAAAGAAAAATTTGAGGATGTCAATTTGATGGGAAAATGAGTGGTGACGTTGAGCGGAATAACGGGGGTTGTTGCGGTGATTACCATGATGAGATAATCAGGAGAGAGAGAAAAATTGAATAATCAACTCTTGATGCCATGTAGAATTATGAATCGAAAGATGTATTCGAATGATTTACACTTGTCGTATATATATACACATAAAGCTACGTATCTTTGAGATGAGAATTCTATCTCAACTACGTACATGCACATTAATAGGGTTAGGAATGGCTAATTATATGTATTACAACATACGTATGTAATAATATTAACTATATGTTTATACGTACGTAATAATATTAATTATATGTTTATAATACGTATACGTACTATAAGTACATTATTATTAATAAATAATGTAACAATATTAATTATGTGTTTATAAGAGGTCTGTGGGCCGTGGCCAGTAGTGACTACTGACTAGTGATGATTACGGATAGAACCAATCGGTTGAAGTAATTTATTCAGGATTATATACGGAGTAATACAGAGTTGAAGATTATTCAAAAAATCCAATATATTTAGAGCCCGCTCGATTGATTCTGCTCATTTATGAAAACATTATATTCAAAATATATTTTATTAATAAAAAAAGAAAAAATTATACTAGTATGAAAAAACAATTAAAATGATCATCTAGAGGAATTAAGCCAATACAGCTAGAAAAGTTATTTCAACCTTACTTTTTCTTATTATTACACAATTCAGCGCACGATTACATGAAATCAAAAGTTACATGTTTGGTGAAAAAAAATGCATATAAGTCTGATAAACCAAAAAACAAGTACACCAAACCAATGGACTCTTGGTGCTACTTGAGTTTTTTGTTTCTGATCTATTAATCTTCTAATTATATACTTTCATTATATTTATTTATCATGCATGGATCAATTAGACTCGAGTTTACAAAGACAAAGCCGACGGTTGTGGGCCGATATATATCACAATTGGAGATGGCGGAAATCGTGAAGGTCTTGCAACCAAGTAAGTTTCAATTCCTATTTCATTTGTGGTGATAATTTTCTGACCCATAAAATTCGGAGAAGAGATATCCGGATTCCAGAATCAGTCCAATATGTACAGCCCAAATTGGCTATTTTGGTTTCTACTAGATCCAATTTTTAAATTGTTTGTTTAAAAAAATTGGCCAAACAGTTGTATCCGAAATTAGAATCAAATTTGAAACCAGTTTTGGCAAAAATCCGTGCCCATTCTCCCAATTACGGTTGTCATTCCCCTAACCCAAATTAGGATTTCACTTAGATTAGAATTTTGTGATCTAGTCTAATCTGATTTGATCTGATCTAGTCTAGTATGTTTAACTCTAGTCTGTTCTGGTCTGATCTAGTTCACTCTGGTAGATGTCTGGCTTATGACAATTTTACGACTCTCGAAATCTGGTATGGTCTAGGCTATAGCTAGATCGATAAATTATAAATAATTTAAACCAAATGGTATACTTAGAATGTTTTTACTTGGACTATAATAATTCCTCTAAATCAGACCAGACCAGTCCAGTTCAGACCAGACCAGACTTGGATAGTTATAAAAATACAAAGAAATCAGATCAGACCAGACCAACAAATTACAGTCCAAGTGAAAAAATTCTTAATTACATCTTTGATGTTAAAAACATTTGCCACATATACATATTATATTACAGGTATATGGAGCAACCAAAAATATCATTGTTCAGGGAAGCTAGTTTTGGCCATGGAATGCTAGAGGTGGTAAATGCAAGCCATGCAAAGTGGACATGGCACCGAAATGAAGACGATGAAGAAATCACGGCCGATAGCGTGTGGATAAGGAGCTTATCTTCCAGCCTTAAATCCTGCTAGCTAATTGGATGCAATGAAATATAAATGTGATAACATTAATGTAGTACCATATTTTCATATTAATACACTTGCGATTGATAGTATCATACGTAGTATTAATGTAATTTCTATAACACTTATAAGGTCACAAAAATTGAGATTCAATGAAAATATAAAAATATGAGAAATCAAGCATTCTCAAAGTATACCCATTCATTTGTTTTTATACACCTATTAATTTGTTCTTTCTCTTTCTACACTCAATGACATTAATAATTATCATCTTTATAGTTACCACATTATTTGCGCCTCTAACCAAATTTTACACGGAGTATCATGTACTCAATTTTTTACAGAAATTATCATACTACTTAACATTAAGAATTTTCTTTTTGAAAATTTAATATCATATTAATAGCTCATTAATAAAAGACAAGTATTTATAGAATCAAAGGTAGTACTCCGTATTATTAAGGCCTTTTATTATCAATATTACTCCTAGGATGCAGATTGCCAAAAAAGTGAGTAGAGGTTAAAAAGTCCAAAAATGTGACTCTCTATCGGTTACAGACCAACGAAATAAAAGGCTGTAAATATGTATACTTCCCGCTAACGAGTTTAATGCAAAAAGGAAATAATTTCATTGATATTATATTACCATTTATCCGCAACTGACATCCTCAAATTTAGGAAAGGATTATACGTGAGTAGTGATTAACGCATAAACATTTCTCCCATGGGATTCAAGTCGTACCTCGTTCACGATCAACAAGAAGAAACGTCTTGCACTTTTCATGCATGTCGTACCCAGTGACCGTCAATTTTGGGAGGATATTTTTAAGAAAACCTCTGAGTTATGCGATAGTGAGGGTTTTAGATTTAAGAAATGTTATAATGATGTATGATTGACATTTGACAATATGCATGATGAAGAAAAAAACCAGTTACTCTGATCTCTCAGATTTATATGGCCAGTGACTCTTTCACAACAGTTACTACTATATGTATTGATAATAATTGATGCTTTTAGTGGCATGAGTATTGCATATTTAGTAGTGATTGAGTGCTCGTTTTTTATGTTTTCCAGACTTACCACATCACTTATTCCATTTTTATAATTAATAATTAATCATGCATTCTAGCCACCACAATGACTACTACCATCATCACCGCCGCTGTCGCCACAAGCACCGACGTCACCTGCACCTCCGTCGCCGCCTGCACCTCCGTCACCGCCTGCACCTATGATGTCGCCATTAGTGACCACGTGATCACTAACTAAATCTCCCAATGGCGAGATAACTCATTAACCCAATAGTGACTTCATCTCGCAACTGCAGTCACTGGAGCAAAAGTGTCCAGTGACTAAAGCAAAAGTGACTCCACTTCCGCTGTTACGGTGCCACTTCCGCCATAACCTCAACACGGTGACGTCGTCAAATCGTCGATGATCACAAATGTTCAAGTACATTAGCTACCACATTCAACACACGTACTTCATCTTTAGTTACCACCCCCTTCACCCTAAAAAACAATGAGTAACCGTAAAATATCCAAAGATGTTAGTGACTACCTCAATCATTCACCTCTTTATCGTTAACCAGTTTGCCACCATTCCACCCAAAGCCCCTCGATGACCACAACTCGTATCAACTACTTTCTGTTATCATAAATACCAAAATCAATTATTTTATCTTTTACGTGCACACTTTAGTGACTAAAAACCCCCAATACTATACAAGTATACAACCCTTAGTGACCCAAAACCCCCCATGAGGGAAATATTAGAAAGTCCGTTGTTGTGAATGTTGTTGAACATGGAGAAGAAGGAAAAAGGAGAAAGCGAAGATAACCCATAAGAAAGGAAAAAGACAAGGATTCACACGGAGGAGGACCGGAGAGCCAAAGTGTCATGCGAGAAAGTGAGGGATGAGTGAGGTTGGTCATCGTGAGAGCGGGGCGGGAGGGGGGGGGGGGGCTCAGTGGCGGAATCCTGGAGTGCACATTGCGTAGCTAATTCCGGTGGTGGGTGTTGATGTATTGGGTGGTCGGTATTTCTGCGTAGACTATGGCTACGTGAGATGGATTTGAGAGAATGAGTAGGGTTTCATATTAGGAAGGGATTGAATGTTAATGACGAGGGAGAAAATAATTATTTAAATATGGTAGGACCGTAGGAGGTGCATTGAAATGAATTAGGGTCATATTTAAGGAAAAAATAAAAAGAGTCATACTTTTGGAAATGCAAATACTAATAGTAATATTAGGGCCATTCTTTCTATTATTAATAGACCATTAATAGAGAAAAGGCTAAAAGGTCAAATAGGTACATGAACTAATTTAAAGTGTTCAATTAGCTCCTTATATAGGAGGTTCTGCCCGGCCGTCACCAATTGGGGAAGTTCTCGCTGGAATTTTTTGATGAAATATTTTGAGCATCTTCTTCATTAAGTCTAGTTTACTCATACCAAATTTCAGCTAAAAACTCAACCGGGAAGGCAGTCAAATGATTTTTTAAAGATAACTGCGCAGTGAAACAGTGTAGTGCATTTCGGAAAATTATTTGACTGTCTTCCCGATTTAATTTTTAGCTGAAATTTGATATGGGTAAACTAGACTTAATGAAGAAGATGCTCAAAAAAATTCATCAAAACATTTTACCGGGAACCACCCCAATTGGCGACGGTCGGGCAGAACCTCCTATATAAGGGGCTAATTGAACACTTTAAGTTAGTTCATGTACCTATTTGACCCTTTAGCTTAGAGAAAATTATCCCTCATATGACTAAAACATCATGCATTTCTCAATCTATGACTAGTTATGTTCTTTTCCTATTTTGATGGTTCAATATGATGAAGGTAATTTTACATTATTATTCCACGTATGCCCTCAATAGGTTAATTAATAGATATGGAAAGTTGGAAACTATTAGTTGACCATACTTTAATTTATTTCCTGATTTTTCGCAAATGATATGCACGTTCTATGTGCTAGACACCATGTTTCATATTTCTTCTGAAAAACAAGGACATAACACATATGGAGTATACCACACTAGTAGAAAAACAGCTTACAGTGACACTCTTTTAGTGACACTATAGATGATATTGAACTTTAATGACACCTTAATATCAACGATGAGCAATAGTACTGCATCAAAATACAACGGTGACACTCCAATACAATATTACTACGTAGTATGTATTTAATTTAATAAACTACGGAGTACATAAAGTAGAAGCTTTCTCCACTAGCAGTCTAGGGTTCGGGCGCTAACTATTTTGACGATCTTTCTTCTTTCTTTGAACAAAGCCTATTACGAGATATAAACGCCGATGAGACATGGCCACGGTGAGCTCGAACATGAACACCGGGAACCATTTCTGAGTTCTGACCGCACCATGGCAATCGATTGCTGGCGAAGTGGCGAGATTACTATTTCCGACGAGTGAACTTTTAAAGAGCTTCATAGCCCGCTCCGCTGGGAGCGAGTAGTGCAATGGATGAACTTCTTGCTTCCTCCGCCACAACAAGCGTAAAACCGGTGTGGAGTACCTCATGGACAAATTGTTGAAGCTCTGCTCAGGTATCTTCTGTTTTCGCCATCTACCCCAAACAGATCTAGCTTGACCTCATTCCATTAACTCCGTCTCTACCCAAACAATTCAATCGGAAACAAAAACCACCCTCCAAAATTCAACTCACCAGAAGCAAGCAATCGTGACAAAAACGGAGCAGAGGAAGATAAAATGATAAACCCTTGGAGTCCCTGAATCTTTCCAGAAACCTACTCTAAGTTATTTGGCAGGTATATCTGTAGATACATGTTCTGTTTATGTAGTTATTAGAAGTTGTTGACTGAATCGTTTAATTTAAATATAATTTAGGTCATCTACCTCAGTTAATGTCATTTTGAACACTTCAGCGAGATTCATTTTTGCTAAGTTGTTTATGATTCCACCTTAAATGTTGATGCTTCACACTATTCAAATGATGCTCACAAGGTGTTTGATGAAATGTAGTAATTATAAAGGATATGGAAATGATGAATGAGAAGGTACTAATATCAACTTCAAAGCCTTTTTTGGACAAATAACCAATGATATTAGAAACATCGTTGTAGAATAATATGAACTAGCATCAACAAACGGTTTGATTTTAAGACAGTTATATCATTTTCATCTCATGAATATATATTTATTGATGAAATTGTTGTTATTGGTGTTGTCACTATTTTATGGGTGGGTTGAATATATTTGTGAGTGTGTGTTTCTAATTTGTGCTATGTAGACTCTCGTCAGCAGAATCCTCGTGAAGTTAAGCCTGCTCAGTCAAGAGTGTATCGAGTTATTTACTGAGACCATGTGCTGAAGTCCCACTGAGTCACCAAGGGAACCCCTAGGAGACCATGGGGAATGTGTGGCAAGTAATGTCTTCAATGATGAGGTGTTTTACTCACAAAAACAAAATGATTAAATTTAGGGAAAACTATCAAATAAGCCCCCGTACTATACCGAAAAAGTCGATTAGGCCCTCGTACTTTACAAACACTCAATTAAGTACCTGAACTATTAAAAAACGTTCAATTAAGCCCTTTTGGTGCGTAAGTAACCGATTTCCCGGTTAAACGACGACGATGGCGACGATGTGCTCGAACCCCAGCAACGGCGGCTTCCGGGAAACATGTTACATTTAACCGGGAAACCGGTTACTTACCGACCGAAAGGGCTTAATTGAACGTTTTCTAATAGTTCGAGGACTTAATTGAGTGTTTGTAAAGTACGAGGGCCTAATCGACTTTTTCGGTATAGTACAAGGGCTTATTTGATAGTTTTCCCTTAAATTTAAAATAAAACTAAGCTTGCATTACTCACATTGGTCTAGGTATCCCAAAAAACATATCATGTGCCCTATTGCCTAGTTTTTCAAAAATTATACTAGTATCTAATACAAATATCCTTTATTGACAATTGTCTATGTAACCATTTTCGAATGGTCTAAACATGTGAAGTATTCTAGAAATACAAAAATGTGAATACTTTACATGTTCAGTCCCTAAAAAACTTCCAAAAATATTTTTCAAATTGCTTTCTGCACTGTTGCATTTTTTGTGGCGCCACACCTAATCTCATAATTGTTGCATAACCTCCAACAATGTACTTAAC